ATATCTACATGTGCATTAATGTGTTTTAGTTAATGTGCATTAAATCAAGTATCTCAAGGCATTTAAAGACATGCTGTGGGAGTGGGGGAGGGGCACTCTAATTATAGTGGCTCTGAGAGCTGCTTTAATTAAAGTGCCCAGAGTGTCTCATGTATCAGTGTCCCCATGCTGAAAAATGGTGGCAGGGGCCCTTTAACTAAAGCTCGTCAAGCAAGCTAAAGGCGTCAGAGCAGCCTCACGGAATGTGTATAGGCACCCTAAATTATGAGGTACTAGGAAAATGCACATTAGCCTGGCTTAATGCACATTAACTACAGTACACACTGTTTAAGTGATGCTTAATGCACATTAGCCTATTTTAATGTTCGTTAAGTAAAAAGCACATTTTTTATGTGACACTGTAATGTGCATTAAAGTACACTTGTAAACATGCCCCCTGACCATGGTCTGATGTATATCATAATGTCACGGAGTCAGCCAAAGGAGATGTACTATCTGGATGTACCTGGACTATCCCCCATGCCTTTAGAATCTAGGCAGGGGACTTTTGGGTGGCACAATTGTAATGATGGGAATCAGAAAATACAACCCAATCTATTAGTGGTTGCTCCTGGATGGTTTTAGTGCAAAGTTTTGACCCCTGGCTTGGAAAGTTTCCAGCATGACAGAGCCTGTCCTGGGTGCATGGTAAAACTCTAGGCCTTTTCAGCATCTTCCAATTTAAGTGCCCTGCCATAAAACAGCAGCAATTCAAAGATTGTTCTCACTAATGCTATTAAGGAGAAAACCATGTGAAATTTGTCCCAAATTAAGTCCAAAGCTTTTAATGATTTTATATAGGGATTCCTTCGTACTCAGGCTCCTTTATTCATTACAATATTTGCAAGCTCCCTGAATGTGGGAATCTTACTGTGGAATCAAGTCAGGGCTGGCAAAATCCATGCTATGCACAGGGTAATACTGTTTTATAAGTTTCTCTCACTTTGGCTGCCAAAACCAACTGTAACACAAGCACACAGGCACACAAGACTACAGACCTTGGTCTCATCCATATCTCTGGTACCAAAAGAATATGGTTCCATTCATTTTCTCCTCACAGATCTATTTCCAACATGGCCACAATCAACTGTACATCCTTGCACAGGATCCCCAAAAAGGTTAAAGTCAGCTCCAATTGTCTTGATTTTTTATTTTTTTTTGAGAAGTGAAAAACATAACTTTATTTCCAACTCCTTTAATAAAATATTTATTCTGACTCTACATTGACAAACCAACAAAATATGGGTGTTGCATATCAAGAATTGCAATCTAACCCCCTTCCTCTTCCTCCTACTGCCCTGTGCCTTGACCATACCATGTGAAAGTAAACTATATGTTACTGCTGGCTTTGGAAAAGTGGCAAGACTAGTTGTGGTATTTTTTAAAATACTAAATGAAGGATGAGACAGTCATGGGAATTGTTGTTCTGTGGTGGAATGGATCATGTTTTCACTGTTCTTAATATGTGTGCTTGTATAAGTACTCTTCTGAAATTATACATTTAAATAATAGCTAGAACTATGTTGTATATACTCTTCACTGTAAAAAAAAAAAAGCTCAGCTCCTGATTTTTCTACCTATATGCAGGTATTTCATCCTTTAATTTGAGCTCTTCAGAGCCTAGCCAGGTTAGACTAACCTGCAAAGATTGAATCAATTCAGGTTCAGGCTTGTTGAATGTCTGTTCCTAGCCCATGAGTATATATGTTTCCCTGTAACTGACCCAACTGACTGGGAAACAATTGCAGAGCATGTTAAACTGAAGGGATATGACCCGAGACACATATGCACAAGTGCAGAAGCAGGTGAAAGAGGCAACAACAAAAAAGGAAAGAGAAAAGAAAACAGAAAGAAAGAAGTAGTTAAAAACAACTGCCCCACAAGTGACTGGCATGGAAAGTTAAGGGACTATGGCAGGCTTATCCAACATACGGCCCGCGGGCTGCCATGCGGCCCTCCAAGCTGTTTTCTGAGGCCTGAGGTGCTGTAATGGGAAATGAAAGTAAACACTGTACTTTTGTTTTGGGGGGAGGGGGGTGATGTAATACTGCTTCCTTTGAGATCTTTGAATATGGCTCGCTGGCCCACTGGGGGGTAAAAAGTTCATGATCCAGCCCCACATTCAAGAAGGTTGGACACCCATGGACTATGGCAATAGGGGTCATAATAGGTAGGATGGTAAATAAGAGACATACCAGCACTTTTTCATTTTCCCAGGTTCATTAATAGCCCTAGGGCTACATGTACTATGCAAACACTTACATATGTGCTCATATTAATAACAGCGAACACTGTCTACTCAGGCTGTTCATTTTAGTACTAAGAACTATACATAAACCTGCTGCTGGCTCTAACTGCTGTCATAATTGTTAAAAATATAATTTTGTCTTGAACAGATTGTAGTGTTCATTTCACCCTTGGCCATAAAGGTGCATGATAGCATCAATTGTCTTGGATAAGTAATAGTTAGAAGAGAGTTTTCTTAATTATTTATTGTTCCTCAGACAAATAATTTAAATTTTCTTTTAGGAAATGTTGTTTTATTTGTTTTTCTTTACTATCATTTTTCACTGATTGGCTTAATTATGCTAGTGATGACTTTAAAATAGAAAAGGGAATAGGAATAACATGGATGAAAATAAACCTTTATATTGACATTTTGCTTTTCTAATGCTAATATTTCAACTGGAATTTTTTTTTGGAAAATTTCTACAACTGAAAAATTGGTCCACTTAAATTTTATTCTTCCATTTTTCTGATCTTTGTAATTTTGTTGAAAAATATTCTTTTCCTCTTTTTACATTAAGCTATATTATTCAGTGATAATCTGGAACTGGAGATCAGGTGAGTTCATGACAAGAGAAGCCATGTATTTTAGAAGAACCTGAAAAAGCTAAGTAAACACAATAATGAAATTCTCTTCTAACAAAAGGATAGTAATCCATATTGGAAGAAATAATTTGAATGGCTTATGCACATTTCTGAATGCTAGATTACTTTAAACCCCTCAGAGAAAAAGACATAGGGTTCATTGAGGGCAACTCAATGAAAGTTATTGCTCGCTGTTCTGCAGCAGTAAAAAAAGGAAAGGCAACAAAAACATCCATAAAGAATGGGACCAAATAACATTTTAGTTGTGTTATATAAACCCATAATATATCTTTGCCTTGGGATATGGTGAAAAGTTTTGGAAGCACTACTAAGATGTATATGTTTATACACTGGATATTCTGTTTGTCTGAGTGAGAACATTTAAAAAACTTGTGTAAAGCTTCTCTTTGGTTATTGTATTTCATAATACATTTTGAAGTTACTACCATAGGAAGAATGATACGATTCTCTTGTGTTAATACGGTTAATAGTTACCTACTGGGAAAGGAAGCCAGGTTTCAGTTTCAATCCATTTTCTTTACATTTTACATCAAAACTATTATTTTACATCAGGGCTTTCCGACTGGCAGCCCAAGGGTCATTTTGCAACCCCCAGGCTCCTGCCCGGTTACCATTCCCTGCACTGTTCCAGCTAGCAGCCAGGGTCACCAGGCTTCCCTTCCCTTTTCCAGCTTTTGTATCCTGCCCCCTTCCCCTGGGTGTTGTGAGGCAGTGCAGCCCGCAGGCCAGGCACCTGGGGAGGGGACTGGGAGCATACATGCAGCGGTGTACAGGAGGGTTGCCTGAATGTGAGAGCAGTGGGGAGGGAAGGGGGAGAAGCAGCATCTGCATTCAGTGTGGTGGAGTACAGCACGGTGGGAGAGGGAGCATCCATGTGCAGCATGTATGAGCACAGCAGGGGACACGGTACACCCACAGACCTTTCCTGGGCAGGGGGGTGATGTACCTGGGCAGTGTGTGACTGGGGTGGGGAACATGGCCAGGCTGATGCAGCCCCCAGTCATATAAAAGTTGGACAGCCCTGTTTTACATTGTTGTGAAGTCCAGTGAAACTCTTTAGCCTTACAGAAAGTTATTTTAAGGTGTTTAGTGAGAAAAAATAAGGGCAAAATTAATTTGCCTAATATTTTGTGTGATGGTAAGGAATTTTTAACATGGATTTTGCTTTCTAGGCCCTTTATTATATGCTTACATTCCAAAATCATACTCATTTACCATGTCAGTCCAAAATCAGACAGAGGGCAGGGCAGACTTGCACATTATAGGCTAACTAATTCAGAGATCCATAAGCTGTTGTAAGCGGTAGCTTACTCGTAGCATCTGGTGAAGCAATCTGTCACTTATGAAATCTTATGCTTCTATGAATTAGTTTATAAGGTACAATTCTGGCCTGACTTCTGCCTGACTTTAAATTAACATGGCTAACTACCTATTTTTGCTCATGCATTTTTTAAGGTAATGCATTACAGGGAAAGGTAAACCTCAAATCCAGATATCCAGCAAAATGTAGTTGTTCCAAGCTTTGTATAACCAAAATTAAGCATTATTTTTTTAATTATATTTTTGGCATTTCTGTTTAGTGTGTGCTGGCCAAGGAAACTTTTCTGTTTACTTTGTATCAATCCCTATCCCTTTTCACTTCATGGTCTTACCTAAGTGGCAAAATTATACAACTGTGATATAATTATACAACTAGTATAACTCCCTGTGCAGACATTCTTACTCCAGAGTAGGAGTAAGTGTTTTTGTTATAGCTTAACCAGTTTAGGTGTATTTCTGGATACATATTAGCTAAGCTAAAAAGAATTACTCATATTGCAGAACAGGAGTGTCCATACAGGGAGTTATACAAATCAAACTACAGTATAGCCAGGCCTCAGTCATAAAGCAGTAATTGAAGGATGATTCTGTTCCAAATCCAGGGCTGTGAGAATTGTGTTCCTGTGTAGTGTAAGTTTGAAAGAAAATTGAAACCATTTTCAAGAGCTTTTCATAAAAATGTGCCTTTGGGCAGTCTTTTATCCCAGCCCAACTGAAGTTTGATCTTTTCTGACCTTTCACCTTTTCAGGTTATTTTCTGACCTTTTTGGAACCAGTAAACAATATCACCATAGTCCAGGGCCATACAGCAATTCTCCACTGCAAGGTAGCAGGAAATCCACCCCCCAATGTCAGATGGTTAAAAAATGATGCACCGGTGGTTCAGGAACCAAGAAGGATCACCATAAGAAAAACAGATTATGGTTCCCGGTTACGAATCCAGGATCTTGACACCACTGACACTGGGTACTATCAGTGTGTGGCAACTAATGGAATGAAGACGATAACTGCAACAGGAGTTCTTTTTGTAAGGCTTGGTGAGTTACTTCACTTTATAATGTGGCTTTTATAACTAACTGTATTGCTTTATAGACGAGCTCTTAGTATTCATAATAACAAAATGGAAAATTAATTTACCATTAAATGAAATCTCAACATAAAAGGAAATCAATAAAGCTATTGCCAGGAGCCTCTCTTTCAGCCTAAGGCAGAACGTGGTACCCATTTACTAGTAATAAATAAAAATAAATAGAACAGCCTATAAATATTTTGTGCAGAGAAAATCACAGACATTGAATAAAAAGCCGGTCTAATTTACAAAAAGGTAAGGTTTCGTTGTTTCAGGTTTGCACAGAACTGCTGGGCTTTTTCTACAGAGATGTCTGAAAAGAAAAAGAGGAATGAACAGTAGTTATCCATCTGGTCATAGTTGGGGAACAGTCATTGTGAGACACTGTGGGTATGTGTACACGTGCATAAGATCCAGGAGAAGTTTACTAATGGGTAAACTACTCTCAGGTAAACTTTCTTGGGTAGGCATCCATAAGTGCAGGGAAACAGGAGCAGATTTGCTGCTAATGGCAGCAAACTGCTCCTGCTTCCTAGGGCCCTGCAATGGGCCCCTGCCACCACCAGGGGAAGCCCTAGGCTCCGCCAGGGTGCTAGCCCAGGGGCTGGTAAGGAGCACTGAGCCAGGAGATAGTGATTAGTGAGGTTTACTGCACAGTAAGCATGTGCACATGTAGATGCACACACTTACTGAGTAGCAAACTACACTACTGCGCAGTAAAGCATCTCAGGTAGACACACCCTGTATGTCTCCTCCCTACATGCTGACTGCTCTCTTGAAGTGGAGACGCAAAACTCTGGGGACAGTTTGCAAGGCACTTTTAATTTTGTTATGATGTCTAACTCCACTGTTTACTTTATAGTGAAGCATTAAATACAGGGGGTATCACGTCTGTCGTCTCTGTGACAAAGATCACTGGAATGCCCCTGTTGCATCATAAACTCTCATAGTAAGCCTCAGATGGGTTTAATAGGGCTTAGTAACAGATAAGTGATGTATCAAGATAATGCTTTATATTTCTAAAACCCCATGTTTTAATAGCAGGAGATGTGCTTTAACAAAAACTAAGTTCACTCAAGTTTCTGCCTGAGCTAACAGAAGATTTGTGCAACTTTTATATTTGGTTTTGAAAATAACAGTATGTAATTATGTTTAGGAACTAGAGCCCTTTGTCCGAGTCTTGAGGTGAGCCTTCTTTAAAGATATTGGCAGAATTCAATTTAGCCTGCCAAATGACTTGTTAATGCTATAGTTGATGAGCAAAATTTGTCAATTTTTGTTTCTTTTTATGTTTACAGGTCCAACAAACAGTCCAAATCACAACTTTCAGTAAGTACTTTTTGGAAATAATTTACTACATCTCTAATGATTTTGCCATGAAAGAATTTGGATCATAAATCCAGTAAATGCTGCCTGCAGTCACCACATGTCTTTGCTAAAAATATTTAGTTTGATTGAAAACTCTTGGTATGGTTGAAGTTTTCTCAAACAAGGACAGCATTGTGTTATCGTTGCTTTAGTTTAACAGAATTTTCTTGTGCAACTTGTGTTTGCATATTTCATATTTTAGAGGATCAAAATACCATATGGCCATGATATTGCTTGACCAATAATCATTTACAGGACAAATATGAGGACAACTTGTGGTCAGAAATGAACAGATCAAATGCTTTGGTTGCTGTGGTTGTCAAGTGACACATGACATATCATTGTAACTTGGAAAATTAAGTAAAGTTGGTTCAAATATTAGTCTGAGCAAGTAGGCAACTTCTTTTATTTAGTGTTTTTCATGATGGCTTGATTGTTTCTCTCAGTTTTTCTGGGTTTGATGGGTAACCATGTTACAAAAGAGATTTAAAAAATATTAGCTTTGTTTGGCTATCATTACTACATTTGTTTGTATTAATCTGAATAAATTGTATAATTTCTTCAGGTAAATTCTGTGAAGTTAGTACTCAGCAGCCTGATAAGTGTATTCTGGGAACTATGTGTATGTTTAAAGTCTTAATATAGTTAGGATAATTGGAGAGAGGAGAAATGTCACCATTCTACAAAGGGCAAAGTATAAACAAAGACTAGTGTTTTCTTAAGTATTCTTGGCCTAACTATGGCCATTGAAATCAGTGGTAAAACTCCCATTGATTTTAATGGGAGCAAACTTTAGGAAATGAAAAGTACTTTAGGAAATCCCATGTAGAAATTTTACACTTGTCTTTAAACTTCTTAAAAAACTAGCTATAAGCACTATCTCTACCACCTCCTTGCACTTCCTTAATGCACTGATCATAAAACTGTTAATTAATAAGCCTACAAATATAAAACATAGTGCTAGAAAAGACATGTTCTTTCTCTTCTTTGTATATGTGCAGAACAGATGAATGAAAGCATTGTCACAACCTTTCAGATGGAAAAATGAGATTGATCCTTCCAAGAGTACTTTATTGTGAAACTGATTTAAATTGCACAGGACCATATTTCTCTCAAATTAAAATGAGCTGTGACCATTAAGTGCGATACATGGAAGGTTATAGGGCTATATACAGAAATATGCATTTTAATACTGTGCAAAATCCTTGTTACATATATTGTGTGTGCACCATTTTACTTCAGAGAAATAGTACACAACTGTTCTACTATGTGTAAAATGTTCAGGTCTCTGAAGGATGTACATTTTTAACTAATAATGTATGTTGAAAAGAAGGGGATGATATGTGGACAGGAAGTGAACAGTGAAGCCCCAAATTGAATGTTAAAGCCTACGGTCTTCTGGCTTAAATAGAGAAGGGTAGAGTTTAAATGTAGGACAGAAAACAAGGACCTTCCAGACACAATTTTGACACAGTTCCCTTTGTGGCCTCCAGTATCTCGATCCTAGGCAAGCTGTTCAAGAAAATTATCCTGGCAGACATCCAGGAGGGGCCAGCAGGGGACTGCATGCTT